CAATTGCAATACATTATACACTGATTACCTATCCTTCATGTGAATTAAAATTTTTCCAGCTTCCTCTCTTGCTTTTTTCACAACAACACTTTTAGCATAGTCCTTCAGATTTTGCACCATTTTATCCAATGCCTCTTGGTCCAACTCAAAGCCAGATACGGCAGTAGAAAAGTTTGATATTGCCAAATCAGTCTCACGTTTTAGAAGCTTTCTTATAGAAGCCCAGGTGTCACAGTCACTAGCATCTAGAAGTGACTCTACAGGTTCAGTGAGTGCTATTGTAAGTTGTTTCTGCAAAATGAAAATTGATTCAATTTCAGAAATGTACCCAATAGTCTATTTCTCATTTCTCTGCCCCACCCCAACAGAAAAAAAAAAAAAAAAAAAAAAAAAAAAAAAAAAAAAAACAAACAAACAAACAAACAAACAAACAAACAAACAAACAAACAAACAAAACAAAAACAAAAACAAAAAACAAAAGAGAGAGTAACATATGAAATGTTGTTAGTAGAAAACCATGGAGATCTTCCAGATAATTACCCTACAGCAAGCCTCTAATTCTGACAACTTATCATTGCGAACAGAAGATGCATGAGCCTCAATATCATGACTAAGCATTTCACGAACTTTTGAAGAATCCCAACTAGCATGCTTTATTGCAGCATCTGAAATGAGGCACATTTGATTAACAAAATAACAGAGGATAGAAGATTCAGAATTTAAATGTTAAATAATAAACTAAAACTTCCACTGTTCCTTAAAGATAAGCACTAACCATTTGAAAATAAAAGCCACATATGCAGTGTTTTTCTAACATATTAACTGAGCTGGTACAATTCACCAAAATAGAGGTTTTGCTGTCTAGGTAAAATTATCTCCAAGGTTATATAGAAATAAAAATATCAAAGGATCTATGCCTCATAAACCACAGGGGTGCTGATGTAATTAATGAAACAAGAGCAGTTACAGAGCAAGTCAAGGAGTGTAGATGAAATTATCTTATCACTAACTGTACCAAATTAGCCTAAAATCCTCTCAGGGAATTTTGATGCTATTTTTATGAGGAAAGGTTTTAACATTGATATCAATATATGTTTCTTAGTTCTAAGGGCTTTTAATAAGTAAAATGACAAGGAATGAAAAGAATAATTTGGGGTAGCTTTGAAACCATTTCTTAGTTCTTATTTGCTGCAAGTGTTCACTTCCATTGACATCAAATGATAATATTTTTTCTTCTCTTCATTGATAAAATTCAAGTGACTATTTGTGCAATTAAGAACTTTGCAATACAACCACTACCAAATTGGGGAGCAGAGAGTAGACTAAAAAGGGAAAATAAATAAATAAAAGACTTGTGAGGAAGCTGAGCATCAGGGATGACGTCAATAGGATGAATTTAAGTGAAACAATATTGTTTCTAAGAGTCTAAGACACCCCTATATCCTACACAACAACTCCAAAAAAGTAAATTGGGTAATTAATCCAAATACAGAGTGATACTGATAGTTGAAACTGCACTCATTACAGGATTTCATGAATAAATAATACTCCATAGTAATAAACTTGATGCTTTAAGAAGAATAATAGTTAAGCATTCCATGAAGTCAATTTATAAGTGTAAAGCATATTAGTTGAGAACTGAGAAGGTCCACAAATAGATTTTACTTCTTTTAGCATTGCCATAAAACAGATTTATAAACTAAAATTTAGCAACTTGCTATACATACCCAAGCATCCTTTGTCAAAATCAAGCATACAAGACTGGGTACATGTTCGAACAGATGCAGCAAATCCTTCTCCTCTGCATAATGATTGTTCCAGCCGCTTCTTAAAACCTTCAAATGCATCAGCACGTAAATGCTCCAACTGGGAAATGTAAGCAGGATGGACCAGCTGCAAAAAAGCTATAGATATTAAAATGTGTATAGTAATTCACAAAACAATGCATCATGGCAATTCTGAATTCAGCATGGATACATAGTTGAAGACACAGTTTATAAATTTCAGTAAATACTTAACCAATGTTTTTACCACAATCTTCGACACAGGTTATCTTCATACTTAAAAAGTGACAAAACATATAGAGTTTCAAGCCATCTACCAATAACAACTGCAAGCAAGCAGCACATTTGGTATGGAATTGCATTTTCCTGGGCATAGAGGGATTGACAAGAACACCCATCACAAATGAAACAGTTAAAAGAAGTTCAATTGTAAAGGGCAACCATAATTTAAATGAAGAAGCCCAGGAATGGAGAAGACTGTATTGTAATTTTGATACAAGTAATGGAGACTTGTTATATATATATATATATATATATATATTAAAAAAAAAAAAATCATACAAAAAGCAAACTTTCACAAAATCAAATATCCACAACAAATGGTAAGACAGATACCTGTAAAGCTTTCAACTCAAGATGTTGGCGCTTAGCATTTCTCACTGATTCTTCAAAATATAGAGTCAACATCATATCTAGAAAATTCAACATGCCAAACTTCAAAAATTAAGTCTCTATTTCAGAACCAAAAAAAAAAAAAAAAAAAAAAAAAAAAAAAAAAAAAAAAAAAGAATTCACTCTCAAACTTTGTGCTTTGCCAATTATAGAATATTAATGAATACTGAAACTATGCAACAAAAAACATAAAAGAATTCACATCTCGAACTTCTGTGCTCTGCCAATCACAGAATATTAATGAATAGGGAAACTTTGCAAACTTCAAAACTATTTCATAGAGGTATTCTTTCATGGTATCAAAAGTACCTTTTTGAAGATTTTTTTGTGGGAGTTACTGAGTCTATTTGGAGGATCTTTACTTTGTGATAGAAATTATAGGTAGAAGCAAAAACAAGGGGGTTTATGTTCTCCCTTTAACAAATTTTGAGACTAATGCAACTTCTCCTTCTTGGTTCAAATCAAGTCCAAAACACTTGTATGTTTGCAACAAGTCAACAGTGACCTTTTAGCCATAAGTCAAAATCCACAAAAGATCAGAGTTGGCAGACCTGAAAATTTCTATCTTATCCCCAGCATCAACATATAAATAATCCCTTTTTAAATTGAAATTACCAATTACTATGGTTTTATAAGTGAACATCTGCTCTGCAGGTCATCTAATTGAAATATTCTTGTTTAGTCTAGGCACATGGTTAAAAGTTCTTCTCCAGTTCGTTTCTGAATAAGCATTAGATATAGAAAATAACCAAACACAATATTTGACAGATAATAATGGTCCATAGAATAGATTACCAACTTATTTCAAAACTATGTAAGAAATGCACCAATTGTCACCCATGCTTATGAGCAAAATCCTTCAATTTTGTCCCAAATATTAGCCAGTTACCCATCAGATATCTACATAAACCAACACAGGTTTTCACATTGAACATTAACAAAACAAAGTGTGCATTAGCATGATTCAAAACTTTCAAATATTAATGCAACATCCTTCCATTGTTTTTCACATGCAAGGCATTGAATATGCACTAATTTTGGGAAGAGAAAGTGCATAGAACTCCTTAAAGTTGGCATCAATTCATGCACTGTTAAGCATCTATACTGATTCCCAAACTCAGAAGTGTCTACTTACTGAGACAGATAGGTATCTAAAATGGAACTTAGTCTTTTGCCAAAATTAGGAACTGCACCATCATGAACTGTGTGCTCCAGAGCCAACCAATCCTGTGCAGATATGAGGTCAGACTAGAATGGAAGTTTCAGGTTCAAAAGGATAAAATATAAAAGATAATCAAGAAAACCTCATCTATCATTAAGCAACTGAATTTCTCATTGGCAATTTCTTCACAGCGCACAGTGGCAACCATGACCTACAGAAAGTAAATATGGGTCTCTCACTCACTATTGTTAATCAGATACAATAAAACAAAGCTACTGACATTATATCACAAGTTCACAACCATACTCAACCTTGTGTGCAGGCAGGTCAAGGTCCTTATTTTCTTTGATAACTTTCCATATCTGTTGTGCACTATAACAAAATGCTGATGCTGGTACAACACCCCGTCTATCGCCAGCAAGCCCTCCTGGAGAAATAGACTGGAAAAACCGCTGCCTAAGTTGAGAAACCTGAATATACCCAGGCTGAGCATTATTATCTCCATCTGAAGCTTAAAAATACAAATATTTTAGTCGTGCAGAAGCCACCTGCTCTTTAAACTGTTCCTCCTTCTCCTCATAGCTTGACAAGGCAGTGACCTCTACCTTCACATAAAAAATAGATAACAATAAGAAATGATTATACTGATTTCTTTGTTGAAAAGCATCAAAAGGAGGATAAGGTTCTTGCATTGAAAAATTCACTTAGTGGAGTGTCCTTGTGAGCCTGGGGCTTACGAGTTCCATCCCATATCTGCAAACGAATACTTCACATCAGCTAAAAACAAAAAAGTACTGCACAGTTCTCTCTGATTAGATGTTGTGACTAAGACAAGGAAGAGACAACATCTTTAATGCAATCACAATATTACTAAGGTCACCTTCTGGATATCCTCCCGCAAAACAGGATCCAAATACTCAAGTGGAGTCTGCAAAAAGGTCAACAAGAGGATTGTAAACCATATGAGTTGACAGGTAGACAATAATGCATTAAGTGAGCAGTTCCATGGGAAGTGTAGAACTAACTAACCTTTGTTTTATCACGTATAACAAAGAGAAGGGTAGTTTTTCGAGGACTAAACAAACGCATCATGACCTAACAAAATAAAAATATAACAGAGTATTAAACATAAAAAGAATGGTAAAATTCAGGAACCAACTAAAAATACATAAAGGAGTTACTATTTGCATGTACCTGAAATACTGTTCTCAGTAGAGGTTTGTTGGCAGCTTGCTCCCTACCAATATCATGGCACCACCTGGAAATGATGAAAAGAAAAAGTAAAAGGTATACCAAATTCCTTATTTATGTGCTAAGAAATGGTAGAAGTGATATGTCATATTACAACAGAAAACTTGTGAATGAGTTTTTTTTTTTCTCTCTCTCTCTCTCTCTAATTTTAAGAGTGGAATGAGTTCCCAAAATATTAATTTACAGACAAAAAAAAATTAAAAGAACACCCTAGAATTAGCAGGATGGGAATGAACAAATTTCAATTAATTGCATGTAATTCAATTTTTACCAACAATATAACTAAATCGTTTTGGAACCATATGAAAATTTTATGATAGTTGTACCAGAGATCCAAAATATTTCGGTTCATCTAATGGCTAATGATTTTTAAGAATTCCGGTTAACGGTTAATTCGGTTTAAAAGTGTCGGTTAACTAAATTGCATGTACATATATATTTTTTATTTTTTTTATAATTCATAAATCATGCTATTAGACTCGTTTTTCAATTTTTATCATTTAAATATTGATGTAATGAGCAATGACTACTTTGTAGTGTGAAACTATGAATTAAAAATTTTCATTAATAAATTTTAAGAAATAATAAATTTGACTAAAATATTTGGTTCAGTTAATTCAAAAATAAGAATTTCAATTTGGTTATTGGTTAATGGTTAAAACATTTTGCAAATTCAGTTATTTCGGTTCGATTATTACTCATTGACGAGTGATGATGTTGAGATGCAATTGAGTCATCGACATTAGACAACCGATCAAAGACAAAGAGTAGTTTGTAGTTCCACCCATCTCACAGCTAAGACACCATCGCCAGTAACCAGTTGCTGCTGACCAGTCGTCACCACAGCCCACAATTTGCCAACTCACCACAACCCATTGGTTGGCTTTTACGTTTCCTTTTTTCTTTTGTCAATTTCCTGTAAGTTCAGTAATTTTCAAATAGAAGTATAAAACCCTACTATGCTAAAGATTCATTCTAATTTTTCTTACTAATTTTATTGTAATCTGAATTTTTTTCTATTAGGCACTAGGAGCCCATCAATCACCCAATGGGTGCCTAATGATTTTTACAACATTGACGGTGTTGATAGTATCGGGTACAATCATGTATAGTATACATGATTGTTACTTGTTAGTACCCAGTACTAACAACATTGTGTGTGTGTGTGTGTGTATGACACCAAAACCAGCCAAAGCAACATCCCCAAATGGTGGGAGGACTGTAGTCTTAGGGGCAGCAAAGCACTCCAGAAAGTCCAGAATCATGCCAAAAACAAACAAGTGAATGAGACCCAAGTAAGTTATTGTTGCAATATAAAAGATTTGCAGGACAGTTTAATTTCACTTAAGATATAAATACGCAAAAAGTTTGAACTGAACCTCAGTGGACTATAGTCCCAGATTTACTGTGGTCAGTTAAGATGTTAAGGGTAGCATATAGGACTTACATGTTTATTAGCATAACATCTGCGATTGCCAAAGCAAATAAAGCACTTTGCTTCTCAAATGTTGTATCATCCTGCAAACAACATTTCCAGGAAAAGCTATGTGAAATTTCAATTTAGTACTTTATCATATATTACAATCTTATACTAATAACTTTGCACATGCAAGGAATATATACACATTTTGGATAGAAGAATGGAGGTTAAGGCCATAAGTTCTCAGGAAAGTCAAGGGAATATCCTACTTTATAGTTTATACATCATGAACAATCTACTTTTGGACTCAAGGAGAGACTCCTATTAATGCTCTTTCTTTCCACAAACAGTCCTGCCGTGTACCACTGGAGGATTATTCAAGATTGTAGCTCCCAGTCTCCGAGCTTATGTTTTACACCATCCCTTGAGGGCTTGAAATTGCAAATTGTTTGTTATTTCTCTCATTCTAATAATCCGCTCCACAAATGCAATGTAGAGATCTCTGCAATCAATCTCCAAAGACTCTTAGTCTCTTACTCCCCACCCCTCCCACCCCCATCCAATTTTTCTTCTGTCTTGGCCTTTTGTTCACAAAGCATTTAACCCATCCCTGCTCTCTTTCTCATTACACATCCATTATTATCATCTTCCTCATCAAGAAAGGTGGAAATCTTATGACAGTAAGGTCTTTTCCAACTTCCGAGCAACCACCATGGTGACTTTTAAGGGATTCTCTTGGAATATATTAATTACCTACTTGCTGGGGAAAAAAAAAACTTCAAAGAAACATGGTTCAAAAAATTGCCCCATCCACAAAAGAAACGCCCTAATACTCTATTCATAAGCTTCCTTGACACAAAGGATTTGAAATCCAATGGAAAAGGGTAACTCTTACACAATATATACTACACAATTAAATTGGCTTGGATCAACACTTAAGCACTTTCAACATTTCCGTATATAATAAAAAAAAAAAAAAAAAACTAGCTGTATGTAATCATAATATGCAGCTGAAATTGAATAGCTTCTCTTCTTTTCTTATTTCCCATGATGCTTAACTACACCACAACAAAATAAATTTCAAGAAATCCTAATAAACAAAAATAATACAAATACAATGATCAGTACCTTCACCCTATTGTCAATACCCAATACTTGGGGAATCCTAATATTTGATCAAATAAATTCATATTTATTTGGCTTTAGTTTGTCACATCATTTCTTCACAATGCTGAAAGTATGGTGTATGATTGGGTTATCTTTTATAACAAAAGAATATAAATACAATATTCAATACCTCACCCCTTTCTCGGCCATCGGTGCCTTCCAAATCCATGACAACGGTACAAGGCTCAATGCCCACCGCCTTTGCTATCCATATGCCTTTTGTTGTCTGACTCCTGAAACGAAATTTAAAATAAATTGGAGAAATTACATGAAGGTTACATATTTAACTATTTCGTGGAACTCACCTGCCCCTGTAAGCATCCATCTCCCTGAAATTCGTATGGAAGAGATGATTCAACAAAGTACTCTTCCCTGTGCACAACAAATTGTTCAAATATTAAAACTCAAAAAAAAAAAAAAAAAAAAAAAAAAAAAAAAAAAAGAACTCTTCGCCGTGCATTGAAAATATATACAAATAAAAAGAAAAATTGTAAAATCAAACTGAAATCCAAAACATATTTTGAAATTACCACTACTCTGAGGACCCATAATAGCCACAACGGCATAGGAGAGGCCGCACTGGTTAAGCTTAATGGCGTCAATGAAGCCTTGCAGCCCGCTGACGTTGAACTCTCCATTGCCGTCTATGAGCTGCGTCGAGCAACAGTCATCCGGTTGAGAAGCCATGGAATGAAGCTTTCGTGTAGTTTTTATCAATTTACAGTTGAATTGATCAAAACTAACCCAAAAGACGATTTATGAATTGTGTGATACTCCGTACTGAGCACAAGAGGTTGCTTTGTACTGAAGAATTGCTGAAAGAGAGAATTGCTGTTCCACCGCTATCTAGAATCTAGAGAGAGTATATGGCCTTCCCTTGATTCGTGACTTCTTGTAAGTTGTAAGGAAAATGATATTGCTAGAAGAAAATATTATAAAAAATTATACTCCGTAGTCCGTAGTTCATTTTATGCCACGATAAATTGAAACCTGACATGTTAACCTTGAATAGACGAATACGTGCACTATTATGACGTTTGGTTGTAGAAAACAATTAAAAAATTGTATATTCAAAGATATGTACAGGTGATATAAAAATTTGTGTAATAGTTTTTCTTTAAAAGGTATTAAAAATAAACAATTAAAAAAATTTATTTTAAAATATGTACGGATAATATAAAAATTTGTGTAATAACTTTTTTTTAAAGGTATTAAAAATAAAATATCAAATTGACTATTTGTGAAGTTAAAAAAGTATCTATGTATAGATACAAATTGTAATAGAGTTAATAATACTCAAAAAATAATAAAATGTCAAAAGGAGAATAAGTAATTCATTTCCCATAAATTTAAAAAATTCATTTTTCATTGGAATAAATTCTCTATCAAATTCTAAACCAAATATGACGTTAGTCTTTGAGAACACCTATGCCATTGTTGTGGCTATTATGCAGTAATTTGTATGCCCTCATGCAGTAGATTGTGTGCACCTATTTATTTATTTATTTATTTATTTATGTTCATATGAGAACATCTCCCCACATGAGAACATGAGAATACATCATGATCGTTCAACAAAGTTATTTTAATGGTTCAATTTTTCCTTATTTTTTGTATCATTGTTTGTATTAGGACTTTTTGTACTTGTACTTTGTATATATAAGTCTCTACTTCTGTGGTATACTAGATTGTATATAAGTTTAATCATTCAGTATGTATGTACATAACTATTATTCTTTCACCTATCAGAATACACAACTACATTCATCGTTTCTATAATTAATTTACATATATGGGTGAAATTTTAATTGGGTGTGCATTTGAAATTGTATTAATTTTTAATGCATATCTTTTGCTTGATTTTATGACTTTTAAATATGGTACAACTACGATTTGTCTTCTAGTAGGATTTTGACGTTGCACGGATGCTTGAGGATTCTGGCAGTGGAAGCGTAACGATGAAGTCGGTGGCGGACAAAGGTTTGTTCACTATTTGTTTATTTTTGGGCATGTGTGTTGGTCTGTGTGCAATGTTGTGATCGGCCCTAAGCTTTGTACTATCGTATTTGGTGCATGTATAGTGCTATATCCATGGGGGATATTGGGGTAAGAATAGGGATGGAGCGTGTCATTGCGCTGCAATCCGGTGGAGCAGTGCCGTAGAAGATGATATGTGTGCACATGCTTAAGCAAATATGTGCATATGTGTGAATGATCGCATGGGGCGTGTTTTTTAGTGCGATGTATGCATTGTAAGTTTTCATTTTTTTTATGGAGTCGCACAGCGGTAGGTAAGTTTTTTGTTTCTTTATGTGTGTCAATCCGGTGTTCTCTTTTTTTTCTTTTTCTTTTTTTTTTTTTCCGTGGGAGTGTGGTGTTTGGCAGTGGAGTGAGGTTGGGTATGCGGTGTGAGAGGAATGTAGGGTTGTTACTGCGTAGTGTGCATTTATTTGGTTCGGTGTGTGAATTATTTAGTGGCTTGTGTGCATTCTTATGGTGCTGGGTTCCGGTAGAGTGGTTGTGCATTCCACAATGTCTGGGTCCTTAGTGGAGCTGTCGGTGTGTGGTTGGTGGTTCATGCACAGTTGTTTGGTCTGTTGCATTGCAAAGGGTGGGGGGTTTTGTCAGCTATGGTGTAGTGTGGTTTGTGTTTCTTATGTATTGTGTATGCATTTGTTTGGTGTGATGTATGCATTGTTGAGCAGCAATGGGTTTTGAGAGCTGCTCTGTAGAGTTGGTGATGTTTCTTACTTGTGTTTTGTCATTGTTTTTTTTTTCAACACATGGAGCTCAATTGGGTGCACTTGATGGGTGTGTTAGGGATATTTCGCCTAGTGGAACGAAGTACAGGTCACCAACTTAGGACGAGTCTATCAAGCCATTTATTGGGCAACGTTTTGATAATTTGGAGCATAGGAGTTCTTTTTTTATAAGCATTATGAATAATATGCACTTCTTTGTACTGTTGCATGCATTTTAGACCCACAACACTTGATTAACATATTTCAATACTTTGGGCGTTTTTTAAGTGGCTATGACAACACAACACAACACACAAATGCACATAAATGAAACAACAGAACAACAACTAAACGCATGTCTAAAAGATGATAAAATGTAT